GTGACGGATGGCGGCCACAACGTCGCCAACGACCTTCTTGTACTTCGCCTTGTCTTGTGCGATGAAGTCTTCAGATGCAAGGTAAGCCTGACCCGCCTCAGCCCGAACCGCCGCCAACTCGGCTGCATGAGCTGTTTGAAGAGACGCCTTCTCCAGCTTCAGAGCATCCACCTCCCTTCGCAAGGCATCCTGTTCTTCCACCAGAGCCTTCTCAATCTCACTCGACTTACGCATGGATTCCCGGAGGCGGTCTCGCTCCTCGCGAACAGCCTTCGCACCCTCCTTCTCGTCGGCTAACTCCTTATCCTTACTCGCCAACCGCTCGCCGAAACTCTTCTCTAGCTGAACGCGTAGCTCTCCCTCCACAGCAGCGCGGCCATCCTCCAAACTCTTCTTGAGGTTAGCGATCTCAACCGCATTATCATCCACCGCTTTCGACAGGCGGTCATTCAGAAGCACGATCTGAGAAAAGCCAATCTGCGCCTGCGAAATCCGAATAAGGCTAAGGAACTAAGTAAACCAACGCAAGGGGCACAACGAATAAAACGTGAAGAAAAGGTGAAATGATTTACCCCAAAGAAGAATTGGGACGCGGTTCCCGCTAGCCGGCGGTTGCTCCCCGGCGAGGTGGCCGTGTACTCGTTGGGCATGACTAGCTGCTCGCTAATCGTATGGAACGCCAGCTCTGCGGCCTCGGTATCGGTGGCCGCCTTCGGGGGAACATTCACCAGGCTAGGCTTATCTGATCGCTTCACCCCTTTTCCACGACGATCCTCAACCGCCGAAGGAGAGCCGCGCACTCGAGTACGCTTCGACACGGCCTCGGGCGTCTCGTGCTGCAGTGTCCTCTTGACCGCTCCCCTTTGAGTAGGAGCCGGGCCGCCACCGGCCGCACTGGGGGAATCGACATCCACATGGATGGGAGAAGTCACTGGTGGGTCAACAGAGACAGCCGCCACTGAGGAGGAAGCAGCACCCGCCCGGGCGGTTTTGTTCGCCTTCTTCTTCCGCGGTCTATTGGCGTCCGCCAGCTCCCTCAACCCTGAAGAAAGAAGGCATAAGTAGATACATGAGAAAATAAACTTCAAAGTCAAACAATACACTACTAACCGTAAAAGCCACGAACAAATTGGTAGGCGCTGTCGGCACCACTATGGCGAACTCGAAACTGAACCGCCTTCACTATGCGGTCAACATGGTCACGCACTGACTGAGGAAAAAGATTTGAGTCACTCCAATCATCCTTCGACCCGACCGCGTACCCCGTCAAAGGCTCAGCGTCCCCCGAGTACCACTTCCAGGACGGTCTGGCAAAGAAGAACTCTCTGTACCAAGGCGAGTCCAACTTAGGCGCCCCAGTAACAAACCCGACGGCATTCTCCCGCCTCCCAATCGACCAGCAGTTGGCCGAATCTCTGATATTGTAAATCAGCCTAAATGCTTCAAAGGAAGGCTCCTCCTTAATGCGGTCACACGCCAATCGATACATCACTGAGTGAAAAATTATCGTCGGCGAGAGCCGCCCAATAGTACAGTGCAGCCAGTGCAAGACTTTGGTCATGATTGGGTCCAGTGGAAACCGTAGGCCGAGCTTCACGTGCTCCACGTGAATGGGTATCCATCCACTGGGGCATGACCCAGAGCGGCTACTCAGAGACGGGGCCGCATACGTCCAATCGGGAGGCATCCGAAGCGCCTTAAGGCGGTGCAACACCTGTTCTGGCTTAAAGACTATCCCGGAAGTCTTCGGGCCTTGCTCATACACGGTCGAGGGAATCTCCTTCCCCTCCCACATGTCCGCATAATGGAGAACGGTATACACCGAGTCCTGGACAGCAACCAAGGGCGGTCTCACCTCTCCTGATTCGGACACTTCCAAGGAAGAGGACGTGCTAGGAGACGCCTCCGAGCGCACACCATCACTACTCACTTCCACATCATCCTCCTGAGAAGGGCTATCTAGTTCTACCCGCTCAAACTCCCCCAAATTATCCCCCACCGCGGATGATGAAGTCACAACCCCAGCTGGTACAGACCGTACGTTAGCACAATAGTCATCTAAGTCTACACATTCCCCCAAAAGACAGTCGTCTAACTCAGAGGCATCACCCACATACAAGTCTAACCCAGATAAATCCCACACACACTCAGACGTGTGATGCATGGGCGAAGAGCGGTTCGTACCTTGGGAAGTAAAGGCCGCTACAGACGCGCTGGCGGGCTTCGTCGCCATGGGCGGAACCGCCGTCGGAGCCGCGGAGCTCAAAGGAGCGTCGAGTCCGGCGACCACTGATGGAGGAGCGGCGACGGGCGCACCCTCGCTAGCGGCGGCGCCACATGCACCAGCATCGGAGGTAGGAAGCGCAGCGCCGCCAACCATTCTGTGCAAGGCTGCTCGCCGAGCCGCGGCGGCGCGATTCCAAAACCAGAGTAAAGGAAGGGTAAGACAAGCGCCCAAGAACGAACCCACAAAGCAAAGAAAGAAAATCGCGATAAGAAAATCGTACCTGAGAGTTCGACCGGATTTATATAGACGTCGGCGGCGACAAAGCCTGATCGCGCACAGAGAAAAGAGGGAGGAAGAAGACGAGGATTTTCCCAAACTAGAAAGAGGGTTGGTGATTCGAACTTCTTCTCCCCAAGCACTTATAGCGAAAAAATAGGAACCACAAAGTCCCGATGCGACAGCCTCGGGCCCCACAAAATCCCGAGGTGACGTTCCGCCTCTCCGTGTCAGGGTGACGTTCCCCCTTCCGGTGTCAGGGCTCCGCGCCCGAGACACGACAAGTGGCAAAGCAAGAGCAGGCCAAGGGAACCGCTCCGGATTACCCCTAAGGCGCTCGTCGCTTCATATTCCCGCGACTAGGGGCAACAGGGCAGAGCACGGGAAAGGACCGCAAGCCGCCTCGCAGGTCCACTAAAACAAGGCAGAGCACGGGAAAGGACCGCAAGCCACCTCGCAGGTTTACTAAGGGCTTAGTGGACCGTACCCGCCCAATGATCACAAAGCGAGTCAGTTAGACGCGAAAACCTAAAGCTTCTCCCGCCTAAGGGGCAAATGTTGGGTCACACATTGATCCACACGGCCCATAAGCCCAAAAGGGCACTCAAAGCCCACACAAGAGCAAGCAAGGCCCAAAAGCGAAGGCGGTCCGACGACGCTAACACTGAAAGGACCGCCCGACACGTAATGACCCGACTCTGATGAACCGCCCGACACTCTGGATCCCACGAACGGACTCTGACAAGGCACACGGAGGAACCCAGAGGCGGTCTCGGGCCCCAACGCCAAGAAACCGCCCGACATTCTGGATCCTACGTACGGACTCTGACAAGGGGCGCGGAGAAATCCAGAGGCGTCCTGGAGCGTCTGACACAACATTAAATGCTCGGAGCCCGGTCGAGACTAGTATAAATACCCCTCATAGGATCACATTGATGGTAACTTCGACCAACTCCATTCTCTCTCTTATTTACTTTCTCCTCACTTCTCTCTCTAACTTAAGCATCGGAGGAGGTCCCAGGAACCCCCTGAGGACCTTTCTGCAGGGTTTCGAAGACCGCCCCCGACCATCGAAGCCGCCCAAGGCCAGTGGAGTCTCACAAACCGCTTGGTACATTCCAGGCACAAACACTACCCTTCCTACAAACGCTCCTGGAGCAGAGAATTTGAAATGGGGGAAGGGTTTTTTCCTCCCTGTTATTATATGTTTTTAATTTAAAAAGATACATCAAATGCAAATGAAGGTGAATCAGTTTGACGATACCAAACTGGAAATGGCTTTGGTACGCTCGATATTGGGGGCATCTTACAGCACTTGATAAGATGGAAATCGAGTTCTCGGCTGGACATGGAATTGAAGATCGATGGTCGATTTCTCACATGTTGTTGGAATTTACACGGGCCTCGCCCACTGCCCGAATCACGATCAAGTAACTTGTAGCTATAGCGTCTGGGTTTCTTTCTTATTTAATTAAAGCTTCACCTTTATATAAAAATAAAAAAAAACTTGTAGCTATAGCCAGTTAGCAGCCAAGCTTTCTCATTTATCAAAGAATGACTCTGGTTATCAAATGATTGAAGAGCCGAGAGCAATTTACTTACGATACTTAGTTGACATTCCTAAAAAGTATCTAATGAATTATGAGTTCAATACACCCTGTTTAGCGGAAAGACAGATAAGATGGTTGGGTAACTGGGTTTTCGAACATGATGGTCGAGAGGCGGTTTTGTCTAACCAAGCCAAACCACAATTCCCAGGTTGGCAATCATTGAAATTGACCCCAAAATCATGTGACGAGCACCATTGACTTCTTGTTTCATTCATCATCAGAAACTGACTTATTTAGGATCCATATTGCTGTGTATAATCACAATGAGAGGCCAGAGACATAACAGACAACAAACATCAGACAAAAAGGGTTCAGTTTGCCTCACATTTCTTGTGCTTTCTATGTATGTTGTGCTTATGTCCGTATCGTTGCCGGCCGACAAACAGGATGATACACTGTGTTGATCCGAAATTCTCCTTCAAGAATATCCAATCCAACGAGTAGGAAACAAAACAGGGCCGAGAATCCTCGCAAAAGTACGTTGCGGGGATCGCCGGCGTGCTTGACAATGCTGCTGGTTTTTGTCCTACTCCCGCAAATAAAAGAGTTGCCACAATATTAGAATGCCAAAGCCTGCTCCTCGTGATCATTTCAGCCAAATAGCCACCTTTTCTTACTATGGTGGCTGTGAACAAACACACACCATGGCATCAATCCCTTCTTCTTGCACAACCAGAGACATTATCGGCAGCTCGAAAACGCAAAGTGCAGTACAACTCTGCATCCCTCTCTCGCACTCGAGAGATTTCCATTCAGGAAAACAGAACAGGAAGAAGACGAGGCATTAGCTTAAACCTTTCAGCTTTCACCCCCACTTGCTTCAGATGTTTCCCCAAGGTATGTCCTGTTTTACTTGATCTGTCGAAAAGCTGCGATTCAACATTTAAGGCATAGTCGAAGTTTAGCATGAACATGTAGGAACATGCAGAACCGGCTCTAGATGCATCGAAGACTCGTTCTTTATGAAGCTATACCGATATCTTTGTACTCAATCATGATCGAAGGCGTTGAAATATACACGTAAAAAAAAAAAAAAAGGTTGATTGATTGATTGCCAATGCTGAATAATAGAGAGTGACAATGGGTGATGAGCAACTTGGTATTGCCAGCATCCTATACACTTGTTACTATGTGTTTTCCTATGAGCCGCAAAACTATAAAGCAAACTTCCTACTTACACACCTCAAAGATTAAGCAACAAGCGCGGACGTCGTATCTGTTGTTGGTTTGATGATGGTTTTTTATTGGCTTCTGAACTTAAGAACCAAGCAGCTTCTTCCATCTTGCATATCCTAGAACCATAAAGAAAAGCAGGAAGGACCCTGCGGTAGAGCCCCCGACGACATAGCCGAATATCCCTTCTATATCATACAGTGTGCAAGGGATATTCATCCCGAACACTGATGCAATCAAGGTTTCCACTGCTACTGCAAATGAAGCTATGGTCAACGTCAGTTGGAGCTGAATTAGTTCGTTTCGCTGGTTGTCAAGCTGGATGTTCACATAGTCCTCTGTGTCATCGATGTATTCACGGACCTGCAAGAACAGCGCAGATGAATATTGTTAATTCAATGAAGTTCTTTCATGACATTATGATCAGAGCCAAGCAGACACAAACCCTCGTAGCCATTGGTCAATACCCAAAAACCCCCCATTCAATCTTTTTAGAAAAACTATCAAATCAACTAATCCATCAAGTTTAGGCTATGTTTATCACACATTTCCCTTCTCCTTTAAGTTAGCTGCGAAAATTCAGACACATCGTACAAAAGTAGGCATGGAATTAACTGCTCATTTAAGGTTACAGTTCATAAACTTGATGTCTTTCCAGATACTATTTGACGGAGGGATATCAAATTCAGAAGTTCGTAGGGGGAGCATAATCCAGATGAATAATTTGTTCAGTATTTGGTAGACTTTAAAAACTAACTTATCACAATTGGAACATGCATTCATTATAATAATTATTTTGGTTCATAATATTAGCAGAGATTATAATGAAACTGTCAGTGCTTCAAGTATTATACCTCTTTCAATTGTAAATTGCAACTTACAAATGTTATCACACGAAATGGACCATAACAGCAATGAAACCATTTGACTTTTCGACAATTTCAAAGAAAGAAAGCCAATTAGTTAAACGAACACTCACAGACAATATCTTGTTGCGTGTGCCATCCAGCTGCATAAAGTAAGCCTCAAGCAACATCTCTAAATCCTCTATGTCATCATCAGCATCTTCAACAGAGCTTCCAGTTGCATGACTAGCACTTCGACCAAGCAGAGGGACCTGAGCTGTAGCAGCAAGAGTGATGCTATTTGAAGCAAAGGATCCTAATAAGACTTCTGACTGCTGGCTTTGGATCCACTTCCTAGTTAAATACAAGTCTGCCATATCTTCATTATCATCTAGCAGATGTTCAATTTCATCCCTCACCTACAGTAAGTCAGGCACATAAGAGTACAGTGACAGTGTTTATGAAGCCTGATAAAAGCATCCAAAAAAAGTCATGCATTGCACTATTGAGGTCCGTTTTATTAGTGCAATATGAAATCAGGTTTTACTGCAATCTTAACAGGTGCGCAGTGATTCAAGAGGAAACATGAGATTAAGGTAAGAGCTTCATATGAGATTTTTAAGATCCACATCCCCATATCTCCTCACCTCTTGCTTTTGCCTTGATGCTATTATTATATCCACAATAAAAAGGGCCACAGAGAGAATGGAGTTGAAACCTCACTCCAAGGCAATAATTACACTAACTGATCACAGTCTAAGATTGAGGGGGGGAAACTAGAATTTTTTTTCCTGGAAAGAAACAAACTAGATTAACTGAGTCCTATTTGTATGAAAGAACCAGATGTCTTTCAGAAAGGAAAAGATTACTTAACAGATGACAATCCCCCTCCAAACCAGCAAGTGAAGCAAGGAATACATAACGGAAATACACTGGCAAGACTAGTCTGTACAATACGCTTCAGATTAATTCTTACAGAATAAGGAAGTAAATTGTGAGTTCACACCGGGACCTTAAGATTAGTAGTGACAAAGGGTTGTTGGCAGTTCTAAGGAGGGCACAATGTCTCCAATAATGTCTGCAAATACTCCAAAGAACACTAACTGCTTTGCATCACATGCTAAGATCTTATGCTACTTCAAATTTTCTGATTCTATGTAGCAACTAGATGCTTGGAAAGGCACAAGGCATATGCACACTATTCACTCAGCAGAAGCAAGAGACCCCTATCCTACGAAAGGAGGTCAGGCTGTTCCTTTCTTTCGTTCCTGTTACCTATTTTTGTAGCTGAGTTAAATTCCAAACGAGAAGCTCAAGAATAAGCTACAATAATGGACCATACATGCTAGCACTACTGCCTGGGATCTAACCAAAATAGTATGCAACTTCCTTCTCTAACAGGTCACTTCGCACTTGCATTTGAATTGATACCAAAGACACCATTCAAGAAGAATCAGGAGAAAAGAGTAAAGAGATTCCAGACTACCTTTTGCACACGTGCCAGCAGGCGAGTCAGATTGCTTTTCAAACTTCGCACATGTTCGAGATTCTTGGTACTGACATTCCTTGCCAATTCATCCAAGATAGGATATGCATCTCGCTCCAAGTCCGCCACGCTAGAGTCCAAATATGAACACACCACCTCTAATGCAATCTCAAGAACCTGAAACTCAAATGGAAGCTCAGGCTGTTCACCATCAGCAGCTTCAGGAGTCGGCAGGTGTCCATCAGATGCAACACGCCTTCCATTGTCTTGTCCATCAGCATGGCCTGCTTCTTCAATCTGTAATGGTGCTTTAAGCCGAAGCTGTAGCCTTAGCTGATCGACAAACTGAAGAACCTCTTGTTTCAGGGGATCCAAAATCAATACTTCCTCTGCAGTGACTAAAGCCCTTATGAACTCCAAATTGACAACCATTGCCTTCTCCCTGGCTGCAACAAATTGTAATTCTACTTAGTTTCTGTACTTCCTACTTACGCAATGAGTGCAGCATATGTGAAAATACCATCAGTGACAGGGAGGAAATGGAAAATGAATTCCTGTCTGGCACTTCTTCCATAAATTTCTACTAACTACAGTTGAAATCACCCTACGTCATAACCAGAACAAGGCTCAAGCAATGCAAACAACTCGGTCCCAATCACAGTTGCATCAATGCGATCAATGCAGTTACTACATCAACGAAACAAAATCACACAATTCCACAAAAGTACATGAAAATATGAAGAAATAGTTACCAAGAATACTGGAGGAGTTAGAGAAGACGGGGCCAAGGATCCTCAAATCCCTAGCAGGAATCGCCACACGCTTAAGAATGGCGTTCTTATCACATTCCACCAACTCCGAATTCCCAAACCGATCGAACCTCATCCACAGCCTGGCACCTCCGGCCTTCTTCTTTCCCTTCACTACCGACACCGCACCACCGTTCTCGCCGGCCTGTGGCGGCGACGTAGCCCTCAGCGGGGGAGGTGGCGGCAGAGGATACGGCAGCGAAGGGCCGGCCTTCTTCTTCGACTGACGCCGACTTCGCTTGAAGGCAAAGAAGCTTTTCTCCCCCATTGTTCAGTTACTTTAGACGACCGCGACTAGGGTTTCCGGATTATTATTCGAGGCGGGGGGACGGGGAAGACAAATTACATTTCCCCAGCGGTGGGTGGAAAGGACGACAGCGGCTGGCGCGGAGCGCGTTGCCTGTTGTCTTCTTCCTTCTTCTGATTCGTCTTCGTCTTCTCCTCCTTGCTCTTCTGCCATAAACGCTACCTTCTCATGATTCTGTGATTCGTTTGTTCAACAAAGTTCACCAAAAAAGTCAAATGCAACAAGAAAAGGTAAGGGCAGAGAGGAACTGACAGTACTATAAATTAGGCCTTTCTCTCCCTTTCCGGTAGTAAGTAGTAACTAACACACACTTGTCTTCCGTTTTTAAGTTCCAAAGGTGGGTTCGGTTTTTAGGTCGGTTATAATCGGAGTTGTGTTATTCGGTTATTGATTAACCGTTAAGTCATTTTTATTTCTGTTAACATAAACATAATTGTATAGTTGGTTATCGGTTATTATATCAGTTAACCGACTAACCATAGAAAGTGATTCGAAAAGATTAGACCAAAATAATTGATGGATTACCAAATCAATAGAAGGTCTCCCTTATGTGTTCCTTCCATATGTATGTGTTCTGTTTTTATATTTTTATCATTGATTTGGATTTGGCTTGTTGTTCCTATTGATTCTAAGAGAAGAAAGGGAATAGAGGAAGTGATGAGTACGAACTGGGTGAAAAAGAACGCTATTAGTGAAAGAAATTAGGGCGCGATCTTTTGCATCTTTCCTCCGCATAAGTCATTTGATCTTCCCAATCTAATTTTGATGCCTACATTTCAACCCCAAAAATCGAAGGTGCTCTTTGCCTCTTTCAATTTTAGACTTCACAATGAAAGGAAATTGGGGAGAGAGGAAAAGGGTTTATGAAGTGAGGAGATGATTTATTCACTTTCTGAAAGGTTTTTGGAAAGGACATCAGTGTTTTGAGAGAGAGAAACATAGACACTTATAACTAGTTAGTTGTCGATTAACTATTAACCAATTATTCAATTATCATTACACATGAAGCATTTGACCCTACTGACAACCTTTCTATTAACTTCTAATCGGTTAACGTACAACCATCAACCAACAGTTATTGGTTAGTTTATCGGTGTAACCCTTACCTGACTAAGTAGCATCCCTAAAACTTATATTATTTGATTAGAGTTCCTTAATGCCATAAGTTAATCCAAGACAAGTCCATTGGTACCTTAATAAAAGTGATGGAATCTAAGATTAACAAAAACTTATGTAATTAAGAATATAGATTGCATTTGGGCTAGTTTATTATACTTAAAATTATATGGGACATTATTGTGTGCACATGGTAAGTTGCATCAAGTCAAATCAGAACCTGCAACTAAACAACAAACATTAAGCTGACCAAAGTCTAAATTAACAAAAAGCAAGCTGCAACTAATTAGCCAAAAGGAAAACACTTCCTCTATCACCCAAAAATCTCATCCTGTTCTAAAGCTATACAAAAATCAGGACTCAGAACACAATGGGAAAGTCAGGAGAATGCCTTTACATGCTACGCTACGAAATCAGTCAAGAAGCAAAGGGAGGGATTGGCTTAACAGCAGTCTGGATTCTTCTGAACGCAGTCCTCACTTTCTCTTTCAGCCCTTCATGCTCACTCTCCACATCCCCATTCTGCTTGTCAAGCTTTGCCACATTCCCGTCAACACTTATCACCAGCTTCCCATTCTCGTCTCGCTTCACGTCCCCAAACATTGAAACCAGCAGAGCATAGATCACCTTCTCCGCTCTCTTCTCGTTCTCTTCCTCCGTCTTACTTGCCTCCGATTCAATCACCACCTTGGGGAGCTCACGGGAGATGTTCAGAACCAAAGCCACCACCGAGTCTGACACCATGTCGCTCACTGGATCAGCAGCCCAGTGCATGGAGATGTGCTTCTCGGAGTCCTGCTTAACAGTGACAAGCTTGTGCACTAGCAATGTGGGCACACCAGACTCCTCATCAGTGCCCGATTCCACGCTCTCGTATATCTGCTCGAGACGGTGCTTTATCACACCAAATGCACCACTGAATGGAATGGTGATCCTCTGAGTAATGTTTGCTGTTGAGAGCTGTGAAAACACATGTAGATCTTCAGGTGCCATGATTTGATATGTGAAGCCTTTTTTCACAAGTATCCCACTGACTGTTTCACCGACTTCGGGTGTCTTCTCAGCCAGTTTCCCTATGGTTTTCGCCATTTTCTCGGAGTTGAACATCATTTCGACCGACTGACAGTTTTTGGGGGTTAAGACTTTGGTATTGCCATCAGCAGCAAACTCCGTGATCAGCTTCTGTTTCAGCCTTCCCATCTCATTGGCTTCTCCATGGACCAGAACTATGTTGGGAGGTCTGAGTTCTTTCAGGAAGGCACTTGTCTGGGCGTAGTCAGCATGGGCTGAGAACGAAATGTAGTGAACTTGCATGTTGAGTGGGGCCATTAGTCCATTCATGAGGGTGACTTCCTTCGGTTCATTGATGATGGTCTTAGCAAGTGTTCCTTCAACAACGTATCCCGGTATGACACAAGAATTCTTCTTATCAGCACACCACATATCGAACAACTGCCTGGACAGTCCACTCTGCAGCCCGCCAGGGCTGGCCATAACTACACATGGCCCAGTATCGTTGAAATCATCAATGCTGTTCAAGTTTTGTATGAACTTGAACTGGAAGGGGTTCGAGTGTGCAAACTGATTCCGAATCCTCTCGTTCATGGCAAGTATGTATGTCTGATAAACACTCATACACTTTCTGGCAAGAGGGGATGCATAGTATATCGGGATGTTCTGGAGCTCCTTGTGGGTACTCCAGTACTCGTCAAGAATCAATAGCAGTTCCTGAGCACGACCAAGTGCGAATGCAGGGATAAGAACACGGCCACCTTGAGAGACGGTCGTGTGGATGACATCGGTGAAGCGCTTCTCCCTTACATGTCGAGGCTGATGAAGCTGGACTCCATAGGTGGACTCGATTATGCATATATCAGGGGAGAACTCTGGCATTTCAGCAGCTTGAAGATGCCTATCCTCCTCACGTGAGTAGTCACCAGTATAGAGCACACGAACACCAGCAATGTCAACCATGAACATGGCAGCACCGAGAACATGGCCAGCAGTGTAGCACCAGAACTTGATTCCATTCACTTCTTTTGTTTGATGGTAGTCAATGACCTACAAATTGAAAGATAGTGAGCAACCCACAAAAAAGAGGTTCTTTCGCATAGTGAAACAGGTAAGAAAAGGGAAGTTTAACTAGACACAGAATGAAAAAGAAGCAACTCTACTATACCTCAATTCTATCCATGGAGTTGTTTATGTCTTGTTCGTCAAACAACATGTCTTCAATGGAAACTTTGCTCACTTTCACGTAATCCGTCAGAAGCAGTTTGTAGATGGCCTTTGTGGGATGAGTCATGAAAACTTTGCCTCTGAATGTAGTCTGAGTAAAACAGTATAAAGTAAGCTACAGAACCACAAACCACACTCATCGTTCCCATTCGTCTTCTTACATATCAATGACACAAGGGAACCAACCAACCTTCTCCAGAAAATAAGGCAATGATGCAGCATGATCCAAGTGAAAGCTGCAAGCAGGCAGAAGGGTAGCAATCCTTATGAGTGAACTAAGAACCCCAGAAAGATGGTGCCCCCAAAATCAAAGAGTACACCTACTGAGTGATTAGAAGCACGTCAATAGTGGAAGGATCAATCTCATCGAAGTAGGGCAAAGCAGACATTCCCGAGTAGGCTGGATGAATCCCACAATCAAACTAACACACGCAAAAATTGATGCCCCAGTCATTAGAATTGGAAATGAAGCAGTCGGTAGCAAGGGATTTAACTGAAGAACGCATATGCTTCAACGATAGGAATCGTAATTTACCAAAACAGTCTTCCCCTTGAAAGTCATGTAGCAGCAGGAACGCCCCACTTCGCTTCCGGCACCTAAAGGAATTATGGTGAGTTGATCCCCTTCTCTGGTGACCGGAACATCCCTTCTCTTGAGAGATGAAGCTGGCTGGGCAGTGGAAGCCATTTTCGTCTACCGTGCAACGAAAAACAGTAGGGAGGGATGTTTCGATCTGGAGTTCAGCTGGTAAGTGAAGATGTCGAGAGGGAAAAGGCAATTAAGAAGATAAACCCTATAAACTGAAATCGCAAAAAATGAAAACAGGAAGAAAAATAAAACGACCACAGTGGGAGTCGAACCCACGACCTTCTGATCCGAAGTCAGACGCGCTAATCCACTGCGCTATGCGGTCGTTGTTGTTCATTTTGTCAATTTAGTAATTATATATAAACAATAAAGAGAGCAGACAAGCAACTACTCAACAATAGAGGTGGACTACAATTCAATTCATGTTAATATTTGAATAGGCTCAAATATGGCAGTGATATATTTGAATTAGGTTTCAATTTCAATAATTATGTCAAATACAACAAAGTGGAGCGAAATTGAATTTGGATAACAATGAATCGAATCGAATCAAATGAAAAATGTGTTTTTTGGTTTGATTTTTTATCCTCAGTTTCTTTTTATTTTTTGTTGATTTTTATCTCAATTTAATCTAACTCCTAATAGAATTGGACGACTCCCTCGCCTGATAAAAAGATATAGAAGTCTCAATTATTTCACCTAGATCTATTTTTTCCCATTTCTTCCAATTTTACCGTTGTTTCATTCTCTTCCCACTCCCTCTTTCTCAATCACATTCTCATATCATGGAACAACTTCTGAATTCGATCATGATATTCCTCTCACCAATTCCATCCTCACTTTCCCTCTTTAATTCAGATTTCTCGTTGAAGATTCATCCTTTCAATCTTCATATCTCATCTTGTTCTCCTCTTTCTTATTCCGAATTTGAGGAGAACGTTTCATTTCGTTCCAACATCAATCGTCACCTTCTACACCGTCTTAAACTAAAAAAAAAAAAACACCGAAAATTTTCAACGTCAAATCTCTTTCACGTATCCTTTTTAATTTTAAACGTTAAACCAGAGCCTCTTTACCTTTTCTACATGCAAAGGGCGCAAGAATGGGCATTAGTGGTTCGGCGGAGAAGCAAACGAAAATCGGTATGTCGGCGAAATCAAATCCCTAATAAAGCTGCTGCGGCTACATACCTCGCTTTCCTGGACCTGCTCGTAGAAGCGGCGGTACTTCTCCACTCCCTCTTTGTCTTTAGGCCACAAGACTTTGGGCTCCAAAATCACCTGACTCCACTCCTCCTCTCCGTCTTCCTTGCTTTCGCCGGAATCATCGTCTGCGACCTCGACGTCGGTGCTTTTGTCGCCGGCGGCTTCCTCGATCTTCTGCCTCTTCGACGCTGATCCAATTTCAGATACGGGAGACGATTCGTCGCTCGCGAGTGGGAGACTCACATCCGGTTGAGGATCCTAGCCGAAGCTTGAGATCGTGAGATTGGAATCCATGACTGGGAAAGTAGCTCGAGGAAACCCTGGAGAGGGAGGAACACGAAGGGAATTGGGGATTCAATTTGTGTTCGCAATTGGGAATTTTTCCTTCGATCCTTTCTCATCATTGCTCTGGGTACTCCAGAAGACAAAATAAGTGCCCATTTTTGTATTTTATTAAATTATTAATATGATAAATTATATAGACAAAATAAGTGTAATGATGAGGTGGAAAGAAAATTTTATTTTTTTAAATTTTTTTAATTTCCACGTCATCTATTTAACGGTCAAACTTTATAGTTGACTGCCACGTAGGACAAACTTAACGGAGTGTAACGGCCGGTGACCAAACGTGAAACGATTCGTAAAGTTAGTGGCGAATAAGAAAGAAAAGTAATTCGGGTGGCAAACGTGAAAGATTTGTATAATTTGAGTGACCAAACGTGTAATTTAGCCCTTCCATATACACAACTATTAGGTTTGTGACAAATATATCCATATCTATCGAAATACACGAAATACCCATTTCCGTCCACTCCGTTAACGGTGTCAGTTAACAGAGTGACTGGACTAACAGAGAATGCTTAGTTGGCGATATTTGTCCCCACGAATCCACGTGGATTAAAAAAATATAAAACATAAAAGACTAATAATTGTGACATTGGTACATCTCGTCGATCCTCTTCTTCATAAGCTTGAAGTCGTCGGCCGACAAGGGCTTCGTTTGACAGAGGAAGATTCTCGGTCTCGTTGGTGTACATCTTGAACTTGTAGGGCGAGTTCTCGATTCTATCTCCCATAAGAATCTCCCCGAGATTCTCAGCGCTATCCTTGACCCCCTCCGTGGGCCTGCAGAAGGGCAAGCTGTAGTAGCTGAATGGCATCTCGGTTTCAATTGAAGTGATGGAGTTCACTTTCACCGACAGAGTGTCGCCGATGCCGTACTTGTGAGGGTAGCTTCCGGGGAGATAAAACCCATCTCCCGATTGTAGAATCAGCAAAAGGGCGAAACCCCAGATCTTCAAACGAGCGAAAGAATCCATCTTTTTCCCGATTTCAATGCGATGCGCGTCAGATCTGGGAGACCCAGATCGTGAAACGACTGGAAGAATTAAAACAGAGGGTAAGAAAAAAGAGCGGCGGCCTTGGCTCTAAGCGAGAGATCTAAGGTAATTGACAGAAAGGAATGATTCAATGCGCGGAATTAGAAGCAGGGGAAGGTGCGAACAAATGGAGATCAAGAGGATTAGAGAGTTAGTTACCTGAGGTGGGAGAGATTCAGTTGCGAAGCAGAGAGGAAGGTACTGAACAAATGGAGATAAAGACCGTCCTTTCTTTCTCTCGTTTTCTTTCCTTTCCCTCACTCAGTGAGAAAGGAGAGTGCCGACGGATCTCTCTCTGCTTTGAATGGATTTACCAGAGTACCCATTCGATGACGGAGGGCGGAGGGGGTGGGTGGGTTTGGAATGGCGGTGGAAGAGGGAGGAGGGGCGGAGATGGGAGGAAGTTGAGGGGGTGGGTGGAATGGTCGTGGAAGAGGGAGGAGGGGTGGAGGTGGGTGGAATGGCTCTGGAAGAAGGATGAGGGGCGGAGGTGGGAGGAAGGGGAAGGGTCTGCGGTAGAGAAGCAATTTTTTATTATTTTTCATTAATTTTTTATTAGTAAATATTTATAATTAAATATGACGTGTCACTTGGTGCTGACTTGTCGATGATGTGTGCGCTGAAATGGCGTCCTAATCAGCGTATTGCTAACAGATCTGACGGCGTCACTAACACCGTTATAGTTTCAGATGGAAGTGGATAGATTTGTCACACAACCTTCCGATTTTTGGATATTTCGTGTATTTCGATAGTTGTGGATATATTTGTCACAAACGTGATAGTTGTGGATATACAACTGTATTTTGCCTAAAATTTATGATATGTTTTATCCAATTCCCACAAACATAACATTTCTATTGTCACATGATATGTCTTATGTTATTTGTGGCGTATTGAGTTTGTTGTAAGCTTTATAACTTCTCACATGTTTTATGAAATTTTTTTATATACTTTGTAACTTTTGTCATGTACTATTATAGTATGTTTTTGAACTTTATGAATTTTTCTTTTTTGTGGTGCGGTTGTGATTCGTGGTCCCCAATTAACTTACACTAATCAGTTGGGGAGACTTGTGCATGGAATGATTGACATTTGGTTGCTTTGAGAGTTTTTTTTTTGTATACACTGAAACCAATTATGTGATGAAAGGATGAGAGAGGGAGGATTATGTCATGAAATGTAGTCACTTTCCAGGAACTCCCATTAAGGTAATAATTGATAACTTCCATTCGAAATCAATCGGGGTTGGAAAACCTCTCAATTTTGCTTGAGTGATGGTGGAGTAAACCCCGAGGTTTGGAACGAGTGTCGCTAACTTGTGCCATGTATGATCTTGAACCAAGGTAAGCACTTTCGCTAAAAATTTAATGTAAAATTAGAAGAGAGAGAGAGAAACGTAACCAATGGTGTGCCTCCACGTGGGAAGGGTGCAAGGCGACCTTGCAAACTTTTGTTTGCTTGTAGGATTTTAGAGAAATGAAGATTTTTTATAAAACCCTGGATTTCAAAATTGAAGCATTATGTTGGATTTTTCTATTTTGAATGTATGTTGAATTTTTAAATGATTTGTTTGCTTGTTGGATTTCAAAATGAATTTTAATATATTGGATTTAAGGAAGAAATTTGCTTTTCTTTGCTTAATAAAATAATTTTATTTCTTTTAGATAGAATACTTTTGATCATCACATGGTATTGTCTACATCTTCTCCCAAAATGAGTTTTATGCAAATGGTCACAACAACCTTTCCCTCCCTTTAAGTCATTAGTTAGTTAAACAATATTCACATGGTATTGTCTATGTCTTTTTTCAAGATCTTTAATGACGATAATAAATATGGGGAGAGAATTTCTTGGTATAGAGTTTCTTACTTTCTTTATGTGCGAGTGAAGTTGTAAATATCAAATTCAGTCAGAAATAATTTGACCCGTCGGACAACGCGTGAGTAGCAACCTGATTTAAATTGGAAACGAGTTTTACCTGCTTCTATAATTGACGGGTTGTGAATTTTTTGTTAAAAACTCAATTCGCTCTTCGTCTCACCCGCACCTAAAAAAAACATACACAATGTGTAGACAGTACCAATCGTTTGGGTTTTGAGGATGTCTTTCCGACATAGTAACTTATGGTTTAGTGCCCATAACTAGAAAGCTTTGGGTTTTGAGTTTTGACTTTGGTGTTTGCGCAAAGTAGAATGTGGTTGATAATCGTAGACCATGTGGCTTTGATTTCTTAGGCTCATCAGAGTCTTTTTCTTCTTGCCCTTTTAATTAGGTCTGTCGCGAGCTCACTTCTAGAGGCTGATCAATAGTGGCTTTTTTTTGGTAATGATTGGCCAAAACTGATGGCTTCTAACAACTTCCAAGCTTGACTGAAATTGCCCAAAACGACCTAATTAGCAACAATGAGTTTGATTAGTTGGCCAAAGTTCCATTTTCAGCAACCATTAAACAATATGGTCGATGAAACATGCTTTATGGCAACCATAAAGTTAAGAAGTCGTTGAAACTCTGATCTACAACTTGAAAGTGCAACTATAAGCAAGATGGTCTCTACCGTAACAAATGGTCGTTTTTACTTTTTACTAGTATAGTTAAGCGACCATTCTCATGAGTCATGGTTGTGAAAATGATTGCATAGTTGTTGCCAACAAAGGAAAATTGTGTGTCATTGTTTTTTCATGGAGCGACCATCTCTTAGAAATAGTCGCCAAAATTACTCTTACGACAACCATCTTTCCGATCGGAAACTATACAAATTAGAAATACTAGGTGGAAATGTCGCGCCTTGTCGCGGAACGCACATGAGTCATGACCTATAGGTATGTATTATGTGGCCAGTTATGGTGTTTTGTTAATATTATTAGTCTAAAATTAATTTTTTGTTAGCAGTTTTGTTAGTAATATTGATTTGACAATATAATATGATTTAGAAGAGATATACGGTGGTCAACATCCAATTTTTTTTTTTTTTAAAATTTTGGCTAGTAAATGATATTTACCTAAACCCAAGTAGACCCATTGATTATGGGTAGGGTATGGATGACATATATATGGGTTTAAAAGTTTGAATTTCTTTTGCTTTTCTCTTGAGTTTTTCTTTTTTACCCGGGCTATAATTTTTGACAAATATACATGGAATGTTTAGCTAGATATCTACACATATCAAACCTCATAGTGGAAAATGAAGAATTTCTAATAATTAATATCATATATATTTATTTTTAATTGGGCTCGACATTGAGTTGAAAAAAGTTAGTGGTTCATAGTTCAATTATAGTTCTCTAGATTGTTTGTGAGTCGTGTATGGACCCGTTCATACTTGTGGTTAGAATACATAATTCTTCAATAATTTTATATTAAAATTAAATTTGGGGTAGCAAAATGTAAAATTTATATTATAGTATATTAATTAGGGTTAGACGAAGAAGGCAAAGAAAGAAATAAAGAAAGGGTTATTTAATATTTTACGTAATGAGCAAATATAAAATGTTCGAATATTCAATTTATGGTTGAGTGATATTGAGTGATGTGACACATTGTACTTACTAAACTTATAATTTTATGTTATGATGGATTGGATTCATAAATTGGTTCAAAAGGATTGATGTATTGGATTCATGGATTCAAGTGAAATCCAAATATATGACCAATATGTAAATTTAATAAATTATAGGTAAGGAAATCTCAGAAAATTAAGATACCAAAATATAATTGTTCAATGATTTTATATTAAAATTAAATTTGAGGTATCAAAATATAAATTTAAAAAATTGTAGGTACGGAAATCTCATAAAATTTCGTTACCAAAATAAAATTGTTCAATGATTTATATTAAAAATAAATTTGAGGTATCAAAATATAGAATTTACATTATAGTAACTAAATTGTGATTTAATTAAATTTGGGGTATCAAAATATAAAATGTTATGCAATAGTAACCTAACATCAGCTTTATATATATTAATTAATTAATTAATTAATTAATGGTTGCTGAAACCAATATTTTTTATTGATTACGACCAAGACACTGATAATGACTGTAACTTGTAAGTGGTGGGAACCTGCTGGCTTAGTAACAAAATGGAATGAAGAGAGACTCTACAAATTGCAAGTGTTTGCATTCCTTGAGGCAGTGCATTTACATTCCAACAGTACATAATTGCCACTCTAGATTACTTATGATTCCATCATTAATAGCACTTGCCACTCCCGAAATAGGAGATTAGTACATCTCAAACCATCTTTCTCTATAAACCATCGTTTTGCTTCCAATAATCAAATACATTACCTAATGGGTAGGGGTGGCTATTTTGACCGGGACCGGATTAAAAACCGGAAACCGGACCGTATAACCCGGACCGTTTAAGACCGGGACCGGATTTAAAACAATCCAATCCCGTCTTTGGTCTTAGAAATATAAAAAAACCGGACCAATCCAATCCGGGTCAAAACCGTGTTAAAACCGGAAGACCGGATAACTAAAATAAGCCCAGAGGCCGGCCAAGCCCACCCACTACAAGTCTGCAACTCAGGCCCATTCTCCCCTCCCTCCCAGGCCCAGCCGAGCAAGTGTCAAAGCAGCAGCCGAGGCCTTAGGGTTTGCAATTTGCAAAGAAGCAGCCGCTCGCCCGCTCCAGCCTCTAATCCATCGTCCTCGACAGTCGACTCCTCGTCAATTTGCAGGGGAGTCCTTTCTTCTTCTTCTTCTTTCTTCACCTTGTTGTTTTTGCTGTAGTAGACGATTTGCAGAGCCCTGATAATTAGCATTGGATCAAGAGCCGACGCACAAGTTCATACACGTCAAAGTGGTGGGGTTTTTAAGTGTTTGCTTCATTGATTACACACCCAGGTAAATATGGAGGTCGGAGATGTGATACATGCATTCCTGCACCAGACAGGATCTTAATTAGCTAGGGACGTCGTATACCGCCTGGCTGGGATCGTATGAATTATATATATGAGCTATTATGATTTCGATAGTTATTCTTAACCAGCTGGCGTTGTAGTTTGTTTTTTGCTTTGTAGTTTGTTTCAAGTACTGATCAGTGTTGACTAGTTGCGGTGTGGTTTTTGTGACGATTGTGAAATGCAACTGGTTGTCCAAACGCAGTCAATGCAGAGTTTCTCTGTGTTGTTCTTCACTTGTGGAAGGAACATATAGCCATCCAAGCGCATAACTTAACTTCTAGTATATACCACAAGTCCAT